TTGGCCAAATTTTCAGTTATTGCCAAAGAACTCTCATTTATTTCTAAAGTTCCAAACCTTGACAATTGACTAAGCACTACACTTCAGAAATGCTTGATATTTAAAATTATGTACATTACTTCATATGCACAAATCAAAACTGTTAGTGAGGCTGATTAAAAAAATCAACAAATATAAATGGTATAAATGCAGTTAGTACCTGGGTTAACTGTTCAGGTGGTTTCTCTAGCATACTCTCCCATGCAGATGTCTCCATGTCCTACAAAAAATAATTATTAAAATATTCACAGAAATCATAACGAGAAGTCATAATTATATTTATGTTAATTTCTAAATTACATTACAGTATTTAAGTGAATATACAGAGTGGTTTATATTTGATTGGCATTTACCTTGAACTGTTTAAGTTTGTTTTTCCCCTGACATTTATTTGATAGTAAGCTTTGTTCAAGTTAATGCATTCCAAATACTTTAGGATGTTGACGGAATCACTTAGCAACAAAATTGTGAATTTTTTTTACAGTGAGTAGTTGATAACTAAAGTTAACTTACCAGTTATTAGTTTTATCACCAGCTAGTCTAGTACAATAGATACATGACTGTTGTCCAGCACCCATACCAATAACTTGACCATCTCTAGTATAACAAACTGAGTTTGACTGTGTATACTTCAATGCAATGCTAGCAACTATCAGATCACGTACAGCTGCCTCAGGAAGCTTGAAAAAAAAATGATAAAAATGAATTTCAGCAATTGTATCAACTAACACATCGCAGGACAGACTCAAAATTGATTCCAATAGACTAATTTTTCTCTGAAGTTCCCTGTTATGTGTGAAATCAACCATAAACACAGGACAAACAAGCAGCCTCTTGGCTGAGAGAGCTCCGCTATTAGCAATGCACATTTCAATTAAAGAACTGAAGACATGAAAATTAGCAAATCTGAGAGAGGTTCATCAAAGGTATGTACACATTGTAGTATCAAAGAAATCTGACTTGTGGGTTTTAACAAGATGCAAATATCACTTTTTACCAAAAATGACAAAAATATTCATCAAAATTGGAGAATTAAAGATATCATCACGAAATGAACAAATCTAAGAGGGGCCTGCCCAAGGTACAGATACACCAAGTATCTAAGCAATAAGAAGTGTAGTTTTCAAGAAGAAGTCAAACAAGTAAAAAGTTGACACGGACGACGACGGACAATCACGCATATGATGAGCTCCGCTAACAAAGGTCAAGCGATGTCAACACTTCATGTGAAAACACGGCAGACATTCAATAATCATAATGTGTTGTTTAGATTTCACAATATTTTCATCAGTACATCCTCTTATCTGATATGACAAGTCATTGATGCAGAAGGATTTTTTCTGATGACGTGCTAACATGTCACTGAATCAAAAAACAAATTTGGTAAAATGAAATTTACATTTTATGAACAAAATAAGTGTAAAAATCATAGCAAAGCAGGGAACACATAACATTTTAGTTTTTGCCTTCAGAAGTCGCCAACAGCTATTCATTTTTTCACAGTACTTTGTTACCATGCAGTCAACAAGCTGACCCAACTGAATTTATTCTTTTTTGATTTAAGATTTCTACAAAATCAGTTTTGTTAGAAGGTACACATCTATACTTACATCATTCTTCTTGCTCACAATATTTGTGAACATATTTTTATCAATAATAGCATCATTTCTTTTCTGTTCCATTTGTAATCCAAACAATGTTCTAGTTTCCATGGTTACTGGGTTGTAATCAGGATCCATCTACAATTACACAAAATCAAATCTGCACATAAGAATACTATTTTTAGAGTAGATGGAGGTTGGATTATTTTTTATGGATAGCTATAGCCAACCTATCTAAAGTATGTATCACTGGATAGCTATAGCCAACCTACCTAAAGTATGTATCATTGGATAGCTATAGCCAACATACCTAAAGTATGTATCATTGGATAGCTATAGCCAACATACCTAAAGTATGTATCACTGGATAGCTATAGCCAACATACCTAAAGTATGTATTACTGGATAGCTATAGCCAACATACCTAAAGTATGTATCACTGGATAGCTATAGCCAATCTATCTAAAGTATGTATCACTGGATAGCTATAGCCAACATACCTAAAGTATGTATCATTGGATAGCTATAGCCAACCTACCTAAAGTATGTATCACTGGATAGCTATAGCCAACATACCTAAAGTATGTATCAATGGATAGCTATAGCCAACATACCTAAAGTATGTATCACTGGATAGCTATAGTCAACATACCTAAAGTATGTATCACTGGATAGCTATAGCCAACATACCTAAAGTATGTATTACTGGATAGCTATAGCCAACATACCTAAAGTATGTATTACTGGATAGCTATAGCCAACATACCTAAAGTATGTATCACTGGATAGCTATAGCCAACATACCTAAAGTATGTATTACTGGTTAGCTATAGCCAACATACCTAAAGTATGTATCACTGGATAGCTATAGCCAACATACCTAAAGTATGTATCACTGGATAGCTATAGCCAACATACCTAAAGTATGTATTACTGGATAGCTATAGCCAACATACCTAAAGTATGTATCACTGGATAGCTATAGCCAACATACCTAAAGTATGTATTACTGGATAGCTATAGCCAACATACCTAAAGTATGTATTACTGGATAGCTATAGCCAACATACCTAAAGTATGTATCACTGGATAGCTATAGCCAACCTACCTAAAGTATGTATTACTGGATAGCTATAGCCAACATACCTAAAGTATGTATCACTGGATAGCTATAGCCAACCTATCTAAAGTATGTATCACTGGATAGCTATAGCCAAACTACCTTAAGTATGTATCACTGGATAGCTATAGCCTACCTACCTAAAGTATGTATCACTGGATAGCTATAGCCAACCTATCTAAAGTAGGTATCACTGGATAGCTATAGCCAACCTACCTAAAGTATGTATCACTGGATAGCTATAGCCAACCTACCTAAAGTATGTATCACTGGATAGCTATAGCCAACATACCTAAAGTATGTATCACTGGATAGCTATAGCCAACATACCTAAAGTATGTATCACTGGATAGCTATAGCCAACCTACCTAAAGTATGTATCACTGGATAGCTATAGCCAACCTACCTAAAGTATGTAATACTGGATAGCTATAGCCAACACACCTAAAGTATGTATTACTGGATAGCTATAGCCAACATACCTAAAGTATGTATCACTGGATAGCTATAGCCAACCTACCTAAAGTATGTATTACTGGATAGCTATAGCCAACCTACCTAAAGTATGTATCACTGGATAGCTATAGCCAACCTATCTAAAGTATGTATCACTGGATAGCTATAGCCAACCTACCTAAAGTATGTATCACTGGATAGCTATAGCCAACATACCTAAAGTATGTATTACTGGATAGCTATAGCCAACACACCTAAAGTATGTATCACTGGATAGCTATAGCCAACCTACCTAAAGTATGTATCACTGGATAGCTATAGCCAACATACCTAAAGTATGTATCACTGGATAGCTATAGCCAACATACCTAAAGTATGTATCACTGGATAGCTATAGCCAACATACCTAAAGTATGTATCACTGGATAGCTATAGCCAACCTACCTAAAGTATGTATCACTGGATAGCTATAGCCAACATACCTAAAGTATGTATCACTGGATAGCTATAGCCAACATACCTAAAGTATGTAATACTGGATAGCTATAGCCAACCTACCTAAAGTATGTATCACTGGATAGCTATAGCCAACCTACCTTGAGTACACAATAGTTACCACCTTTCTTCTTTGATAGTATTTGTAATGCTTCATCATCATATCCAGGTGCAATGACGCCATCAGATACCTGTATACAAATATAATAAAACCGTAGTAGTATTGCCAATATTGTGTGCACATAATATGTAATGACAGACTTGCTCCTTGAACACACCAATCATCTCGCCCGATACATGGGTGAGTAACCAATCATATCACCCGATACATATCTAAGTAACCAATCACCTTACCTCTCTGGATATAATCTTGGCAGTAGGGACATCACATTGGTCAGACAATGCAACAAAATCACCAAATGATGACATACGATCAGCTCCTAAAAATAGATTTTTTTTAAAATAAATAAATATAAATGGGTATCTATAATTTCTGAGTTATAACGTCATCAGATGGTTCCTTTAAAATTGGAGGTTGATTCCTAGCTGCCACAATTCATAGAAAACTACAATTCATTTCTGTAGTTGACCTGTGGTGGAACTATTTCTTAAACCATCTCCACATAAATCCACATGATTTTGTCAAGCTGATTTCAGATATCACCAGTAGAGTTGTAATGGTCAGTATAAATAAAGAATTGTATGTTTACCTCTAGCCCTAGCATATG